TGAAAAAAATGTTTACTTGCATTCTGTGGCAATAGACTACTTGCAAGAGTATATAACCGCCCAAGAGTGTGCAACTCCTGATACCCTTTCTATGGGGTACGCTGACGGCGAAAACTCACATCACGTGGTGCAGTGTCGCAGTTGTACGTTTCCAGCCCGTTTCTAGCAAGCAGCGGAGTAATAAAAAAAGCACTCTCTGACAGAAGCTCACTGCTGGTATGCAAATTCCCAGCATGATGATGGCAGATTGCGCGCACGCTATCCTTCGTTGGTACGTCGTACGAACGTACCTGAGACACGTGATGTGAGTTTTCGCCCTCGGAGACCCCACATGCAGAGTTGCACACTCTTGGGGAGTTATAGCTATACATGTAGCAAGAGTATTATTATACTCTTGCTACTAATATACTCTTGCTACAGGTCGTCCCTCGTTAATACATAATCTCTGGGACTTGACAAATGTTATGTATTAACGGGGTTTATGTACTAAACGAAAGTGTACATAACTTGCTTGTGTACCGGAATTTTTCACTTTTTTCAACTTTTCTGAGTGTTTCTTGCTACCTCGACTAGGCAGCGAGATATCCTTGATTCCCTCGATATAAACATAAAAATTATGTTATAACGGTCACAGTTAGCGAAGATTTTACAGTTTACATGATACATGCCCAGCCGCGCCTGTACAGTCACTCGAAAAAAAAACAGAGCTTTGTCGGTTTGTGATGTGCGCTCTGGTTTCTGAGTTAATTGCGTCCACAAGTAGAAACTAGAACACGATGTGTCTCCACTGGAAGGCCAAAAGACCAACAAATTATGTACTATTGAGGTAGATGACATGCGGGTACGGAGAAATGTTATGTACTAACGGGGTTTATGTACTAACGAATTATGTACTAACCGACAAAATTTGTATGGAAGTGACCACGTTTCGTCCGGGACTTGAGATTTCTTATGTACTAACGGGGTTTATGTACTAACCGGACTCGTATTAACGGGGGACGACCTGTACTAGTAGATTAGGTTGTCTCCATTACTGTCCCCTGGAAAAATCGCGATTCCGCGGCAGCGTTTTTTCGTGAATTTGGTGATTTTAATCGGATTTTTTTACTTTTTGTTGCGCTACACACCAGTGTTGGGTTGTGAGCAGGGAGTAGTAAGTAAAGTATTTTACTACTCCCTGGTTGTGAGCCGTTCACGTCGCATACTGGTACTTCCACGTACATGTACATGTATGTGTAGGGCATTCCCTGCAGTTTACACAGTTTACACAATGGCACACACTCTTCTTAATGAAAAATTTATAGGTTGTGTTCTGGCAGGCAAACCAGTAGATTGGCCATTCCACTTGCATACTAACCAAGACATGTTGCAAATTCACCACGTTTTGCCGCCAATTGTTCCAATATTGACTGCAGAATTGGGCGGCGAACTTTGAGCTTTTCTTCTGCGATTTTCCCGCAGGATAGATTAAAGTATCAAGAGCTTTCCCGGTGCGGAAAGGCGGGCACGCCCCTACATGGCTACTTCCCCTTGTCTAATCCCCAAGACGAAATGATAGTAGCGGACTGGTCGAAATAAAAAAGTATAAACAATTCACTCTTGTAGTACCGGTATGTATTTTCTGAGTTATGGGCAATTCTCGGTCCCAACCTGCCCAGATTATATATGGGGAGTTTTACTGCACTAGTACTAAGTCTTGAAGTATTAGGATTCCACCTGTAGACCTACATGATTGTACTACTTTTGCTCTTCAAGAGCAACAGCAGGTCCAGTAATATTTCCTATGCGTATACGGCCCGCAGCAAACATGTCAGCAGTGCTTTTGTAATATGGGCCACAGCCAGCTAAAACATGTCTGATAGGCCATTCACACGACGCGTTAACACTTGCACGTGTGTGTCCAAGATAACGCTGGCAAACCGTGATCCAGTTCACACGGTGCTGGGCAAACTTTGCAACCGTAAATGTATCCATAGTGACCTCCTGAAAATGCCGGGAAATGTTAAATTTCGAATTTTCCTTTGTTCAAGCACTGCATTTGCAGTACACACTGTCAACAATCGACACTATTGCTGGCGTGCAAAGACAATCGCGCAGATCGCATGCAAAGATAATCGCGAGCAAACGGGTCTCGGCCAAGATAAAATCAGTTGCACGCGTACGCGTGTGTGCAAGTTTATCGTATGCGAGTAAATGTCTTTGGAAACGGTACGATGAAAGTGAGCCATTCACACGACGTGCAAACTCACGTTCATCGTACCGTTTCCAAGGACACTTACTCGCATACGATAAACTAACTTGGACACACGTGTGCAACGGATTTTTGAACTTGGCCGCTGGGGCACGGGCCCTTGTGCTCACGATTATACTTTGCACGCCAGCAAAAAAAAGCGTCGGTTGAACTTGTTGAAAGTGCGTACTGTAAAATGCAGAAAGGTGAGAAATTGTCGCTTTTTGACCATTTGTACCCACGTATCACTTTCAACGTACATGACCCGGCTGTGATGTGAGTGGTCGCATTGACACATGCAAAGTTTGCCCCGCACCGTATACCGTGTGAACTGGATCACGGTTTGCCAGTGTTGTCTGGTCACACGCGTGTGAATGGCCTAAACTGTATGAGGCTGTGTTTACATGAGGGGTTTCAACCCGGGTCAGATTTCAACCCGCCATGCACACAAAATGAATGGCGCGTTTACATGACGCATTGCGCTTGACCCGGGTTGAAATTTCGCCCCGGGTTGATTTCAACCCTCCCCTTGGGGGGAGGGTTGAAATCAACCCGGGTCAAAGATATCGTACTGTGCGTATCTCGCGCCAGGTTTAAACAGCACTGCACATGCAAATTTCGCGCGAAACGATTCACGTGACCATACAGGACTCTAGAAGTGGAATTTTGGCGGCATATCAGTATTTGACCCGGGTCAACTGTCTTCATGTAAACGCTCACCTATTTTGTCTATCGTACAGACTTTCAACCCGGGCTGAACTCGACCCGGGTTGAAATTTCTCATGTAAACACAGCCTTACAGTACAGAAAAACTCACTTTGCTCGCCAGCTGCTTGGACTACCCCGCCAAATAAGTAAGTGTGAGAACGAAGTTCGTCAAGTAACTACTAAAGCGGGATTCACAGAAGCTTTTTTGCGATGCGACAGGCGCGAAACCGGGAAAACCCCAAATCGCAGCCTTGTCGCACCCCACGCAACTGCCGCAACTGGGCCATCGCAGGCCATCGCAGAAGTTGAGCTTGGCTCAACTTCTGCGATGCGATGCGACAAGCGATTTGGCGTACGATTTTGACCTTTTCTACAGCAAAGTTGTACAAAGGTTCAAGAGTTGCCTATAAATTTGTACAAGTTGTATCAAACCGCGCGAATATCATGGTGACGTAGCCAAATCAGCAAGATTTTGTCGCATCACTGACTTCTTCTGTGAATGGTATTTCGCGAGTTCGCATCGCACGCGTCGCATCGCAAAAAAGCTTCTGTGAATCCCGCTTAACTCAAGTAACTTACTCAGTTCAATCCCGTCATGTCTCAAAACATTTACGAAACCCCAAAGCTAGAGACATGTTTTAGCTGACTGTGGCCCATATTATTTCACAAGAAATTAGAATACGTGTATTACGTTGCCAGAAAAGACTTTATAGTACTGCCAAGTCTTTATACAGTCTTGGTACAGCTGTATTGCGGATGTGAACCAATTTACAATGAGTTATGACTTCAACAAAAACCATTTTCAATTTCACCTGCACGCAGTCACAGTACAGTGTTGTAGACCACCAAATAGACCAATCGTAGGTTCGTGGTTTCTACCAGGGTGTAGTAAAATACGTATTTTACTCTCCCTGGTTTCTACTATAATTTGCACAGAGGATCATAATGAAGACCATCCCATTCATGTCTCGAGGCATACATCAGAAATACAACATGACTGTATATACGCGGAATTACGGTATGCCGATAAATCAGCAATCGCAACAAGATCTTTACTCAGCCACATATACATGCATGCACTTGCGACTGACGATACACTCACTTGAAAACATCATCAGGCTGTTGAACTGAAGCAATGCATCCAATGGCACACGGAGGCCACTCATTGCGAAGCCATACACGTGCGTCCAGGCCAGAGCTCCCATTGGCACACGGTCGCCAACGACGTACTAGCACATGCTGCCACTGGGCCCCAAAACACAAGACCAACCGATTTTACGACCATTTTTTACTTGATAAATACAAATCAACATATGGCGGGCACATGGATACATGTACGATCGAATTTTTAGAAAAAGCGATAAAAATGTCACTCAGAGAGAACAAATCTAAGTGTGTTTATTAGCAAAGGTGGATGTCCTTGCAAATGACAGCGGGCTTGATATCATTGGCGAGCATCGAGATGATCTTCTCACCATACAGGGAGACGACCAGATGGCATCCGGTGCGGACGGCGCTTGGGACCTTGGTGCATACCTCAGACAGGACCTTCTCAATCTCGGCCTCAGTGGCGTGGTTGGAGAGAGCGTTGTGGACGTTAGTCAAGACACCCTCGCAGATGTGGCATGCTTCCTCTCCACGGAGTTTGCGCATCATGGTCAGATCCTTCAAGGACTTGGTGGCGGAGCACAGTTTGGTGTATTCACAGAACTGCTCGGCAGTGACGGACTCGATGTTCTTCAGGAACTCACGACCGAGTTCGTTGACAAGCTGCTGGCACTCAGAAGAGATGGAAGAAGGCAGGTAACGCGAGCACACGTTGTCCAAGGCGGCCTCAATCTCGGCCTCCGTCTTGTTGTTGTTCTTCAGCTCATCCTCCAAGATGTTGAAGACATACTTGCAGAGAACACAGCCCTCTCCATTCTTCTGAGCCTGGGCAGCAAGAGCCAAAGCGCTCAGCGCGAGGAAAGCAATGAGAACCTTCATTTTTGCAAAACGTGGAAAGAAGAGACAACTGCTTCCTTCAAACAACTTCAACTGAATGAAACTTTTTTCCGGAACGGACAACTTTTGTACAAATGGATCATTCGTACAAACGTACAACTTACTCTTATTTCCGGCGCCGGCGGTGTCGCATGCGCATAACCTTCCCCGGATGCGCACGCGCACAATCACTTGGCGCCAGCTGATGCGCATGCGTGACCACTCGGCGCACGCGCAGCGCAAACCTATTTCGTCACCTATAATCGCGCTTAGACGCGCTAGCATGCAGGGAGTCGTATTTTACGACTCCCTGCTAGCATGCATATGATGATGTACCGTAGATCTACCGTATTGGCGTATAGAGCATTAGAGGACTTTCCAATGAGTCATACCGTGCGGCCTATGAGGATTCGGGCCAAAGATCATCGAGTTCACCACCGATCACCGAGGTATATTATGCTCCGCAGGCCGCGAAAGAGAGCCCGTTACCTGGACCCCTACTCGCGCGGGTAGAGCGAAACTGAGCACCCTGGGATGCGAGCAGCTTTTTAGTACTCCCGGGTCCAAAATCTCACCACCAGGCCGGGATGATCAAAACGTCTGCCGGGTCTGCAGCCTACAAACGTGGATCTGCCGACACTGTGCTGTCGACGACATGTCCGGCAAGGCACCTCCTTGCGTGAAAGCAAGGAACGCTTTTTTTTTTTAGAAAGGAAGCTTCTTCTCCAAAATTTAAAATTTTTGAAAATTATTCCTTCTGAAAATATCATCGCGTTCTTGACCTCGAAGCTGACTGCTGAATGCGATTAGGAAAGAAGATTCCTGAAGATACACCAGACTGATTCTGGCAAGCCGTCTGTCGTCTAGATATGCAGTTGTTCGTCATGCATGGTCAGCAATCTTCCTCGTTCGTCCTTTCGTGTTCCTGACCACGATGATGACAAGCAGCTCTCATGCTCAGGTTAGTGCTGTACTTGTATGTCTGGGCACACAACACATCTGAGATTCACCCACTGACGTTATCGAACTGAAGAATGCAGCAAGGGTTCCTCGGATTCTCTTGATTTCGGAACAAATTTCCTTCACTTTCACCCTCTCAGTCTCTTCCCCATGCCCTCCATGCATGCACAATCGAGTTTGCATTTCAAATGTTGTTTTTACTTTGGCAGTGCGTTCGATAACGTTAGGACAGTCTAAGTTAGGTGTTCTTCTCTTCAGGCTTATTGGACGTGTACAAATTCTAAAAAAATAGCTTCCATATGCTAAACGCAGATCCCTGTGAATACGGTTCTGCTGGGCAATGATGTTTACACCAATCTACACTCTATGCTGTCACAGCATCCACAACTGATCCTCTCTCTCTGAATTAACTATTTGATAAAGCCAATCTTTAAATCGCTGTTGCATAGGATCTCGGGTGGGAAGAAGCGATGAATCGATACATGGCATTGTGAAGAAAAGAAGAACAAATTCACATTGCACGTGAGACTCGGTTAGAAAGACTGAGTTTCTGCATTCATAAGAATGTCACACCCCGGGGATCATGATAAAGAAAACATATGTCGTGAAAATGACTGAAAGAACCAAAGAAGTATTTGATCTTCCAGCCAGCTTAGCCTGGTACTACCATACTAGCAGTGCTACCAAGTACCAGCCCTCCATATTTTCTGTATTTGTACGGAAAATCACTCCTTGTGCGCACTACAGAAATTGAGCAAATGGTATAGAAAATCGGAGAGGATCAATCAGCTGTGTAGAAGCATTGCAAGTGTAAGCTGAGTGATGAATAGTCTTGTACCAAAGCGAGTGCATGCCGTACCACAACAACATGTACATGTAGCACAAATATAATAATGTCGTGAGTGCAAGTCACACATGTTTTACACTACCAAATGCAGCCACCGACATGCATGTGCGTGTCAAAAAACATTACAGTGCAAGTATGCATGCAATGTACACGGCAGTACGCAAAACACTGCAAGATACGGAAAATCAGAAGTCTGAGTACGCAAAACAGACTCAATTGGTGGGCAGCTCTGTACTGGCCTGTACGGAGGGAGTGAATCTCAATGTGTGCAATGCACGCACTTTGGCCGACAGTGAAAACTATGCAAGTCGTGTTGGTTTGCAGGATGAATGTGAGTCCTTTTAGACAAGCGCCTTAGTGGAGTAGCCCACCGAAAGAAGAGTACTTGACACCGCGAAGTGGAGTCTGCGCATACAACAGTGAGGGGGTAAAATTAGCTATGACTGATTCTGCATGTGTTCTGCATGTGTGTCACATTACACTAGCAGATAGGCACACCTGTTGTTCCAAAAAGATGCTTATGTCAGTGTCTGAATATGTCGTGTACCAGGTAATATTGTTGCCAGGATCTCACGGTGAGAGTCAGACTTGAATATGGTATCAATAGATTATCAATATCATACATCACCATGTACCACCCAAAGTATAATAGCCGAAGGACCCGTTTGTGTGGTGGTGTATGATTTCGTGAGCAAGATGAAGTGGCTACAGATGTTTCTTATATAACACCCTAAGAAAAGATCATCAATTCTGGGGAAAGTGATTCTGGTAGCATGTTGTATCCAGTGTGGCATGACAAAGACTCCCTCGATTTAGCCTGTGGAGAATCCGTAAATACATAAATACAATACATACAGGCATCGCAACCTTCGGATTATATGCTCTTTTGCTTGCCTCCTGGAGTGTGGTTGTACCTTGGTTCACTGTATTAGAATAATAGTAGACTTTGTTTTTCGAATTCGTTTCTATAACATTAGGTTTCTTTCTGTTGCTGCTATGTCTTTTCATGTGTTTTACAGGATTGCCATCTGTTGATGAATACCACTCTGAGGCACTCTCACGAGCGAAGGTGTTTGAAAATCCATGTCGGAATGATGGTCATGTTGGCCTAAAGGTGCATTACATTGCCGATACTCGCCACCTCCACCCTGGAACATGTTCAATTTCTGTTTCTCGTATGGAAGGACCGAACAGGTTGTTTTCCTGTCTCAGTGGACCACTCAAGACTGAACAGCACTGATGGAAGAAGATTTGCCGTGAATCTCGTTCACATAATCAGCCTGTTTAATTGCTGTACTGAGGTGACTGCTTCATAACAATGACCATGCAGCATTAATTTTGGATAGTATTGCAGTGCCCCTAAAATTGGAGAATATCGAATTTCTCTGATAGCATTGTGATTCATTTGTGAATAAACATCACTACTCTTTTTGAGTAGCATAGCAATGACAGAGTTGGTTTAATGTATGACAAAATGGAGCCGCTTTTTAACTTAAACCTGTACTATAATCAGTACCGCCGGAAGCAGTTTTTGATTGGTCCGGTAGTTTCATGGCGGGTACACACGTCCTCCACGGTAGGAAACGTTTGTTGGTGGCCAACAAGTTGGTCTGGTGATAACCTGACCAACCAGACCGGCGGGCCTGATAATTGTGGGGCTCATGAGCAGCTCAAGTACTTAGTATGGTTTTGGACATGTCCCCAGTTAACCAATGAGAATAACCGGAAAACAAGGGGGGCTTTAGATACCGGGCTGACTTAACAAGAGGCAGGATAAGCGCGTTACGGGTTGAGCTTGTCGAAAACCAATTGTACTCCATTATGTGTGAAGGGGTTTTATGAAGAAATATTTTATGAACCAGTGTACAGAGATGGTGCTTATGACGAAAGGAGAGAGGAGAAGTGTGTGAAAGTCGATAAAGGGCATCCGAAGGAACACATCGATCCTTGTTGTAAAGAATATTATGTATAAATCTATGGTTGAAACCTACTTCCCCAAGCGTTCTCTGTTAAGTATAAATCTATGGTTGAACCCGACTTCCCCAAGCGTTCTCTGAGGGGACCGAGGTCTACTCTATCAGTTCATGTATTCTGTGAAGTGACATGACCATTCGTGGGGACCTTGCTCATAACTGCAAAAGTCCTCGTCTGATTTTTCCGCATCAATTGAACGTTATACATGTGCATGTAGTGAAAGCCACATGCAAAAGGCTGTTCCATGGCACTCATCTGCCACCAAGCTCTGGGTTCATTGGCTGAAAATATTCTTCGGCACAGTAAAGTCGTGCGCCCAAGAACGTGGAAGCCTACAGAACATCCAACCTGGAATACTAAGAACACCACAGCCCAAAATTAAGAATTGCGGTGTAGGTTTGTGCTGTTGTCAAACACCGGGATTGTTATGTTGCACATGTATCTGAGCTTTACCACTACATACACGTCTGTCTTTACACAATTACCAATCTGCAGACAGCATGCTGTTTCGTCCTTTAGTTACTAATGGACTCATCAATGCAGCACAGAGAAAATGAGGCAGGTGAATGTCCTAGGCTAGAGAGCATCAAATACAGGTATAGAATCATGCCTTGCAGATCTCGTTACGGCCCCTTCGATGCATGTCTGAACATTAGATGGCTGTGTAGCTTCAGTTATCTCAGAATATGTACTATTTATCCAGCAGCAACAACGTTGGTCACACAACTATTCACTATAATGAGTATGCGTTGGAACACTTTACCCCGAGTCATACTATAGCAGTGTATGCCATGCATGGGTTTACCTCACACACTGAATTTCATAATTTGACATCCAAATCACAGAAGAGTGGTGTTCCAAACTTTACGTAATTGCACTCCATGTCCTGCGAGCTACAGTAGAATACTTCAATAGAAAATTTCTTATAGCACGTTCTTAGAAACAAATCGTATAGGTTCGAGGCTGTCAACCCAGAAATTTGTGATTTCACAGCCATAGATGTTACCAGTCAGGTCACTGTATACAGTAGGTATGCAGAAGAAAATACTAGTAACTCTTTGTGGAAGAGCTGTGCCAAAATGTGTACAGTACAGTAAATTAATAAAAAATGAGAAAAGCAGTGACAAGGCTGTGCATGATGTAGATCTACTCGTACCAGTAAGTACAGTGCACCAGTGAAATTGTTGGTGTAGTACCGGTATACTACTATAATTATGGCATGGCCCATGCCACTACAATCTATTTGCAGTGGGCCGCAGTAGGCCAGTGCAACAGAAAGCATTTCAGAAGCTGTGTGC